ACTCTTACATAATCTCTTATGTAAGATATTGTACCTATTGCTTGACTTGAGATTGATTGTGGAAAGTCTATAAATGCGGGATGAGACCATTCGGGGTCCCAAACATAATCTGATTGTTCTGTGATAGCGGTATCATCGTTCGAATTTTGGGGTCTAAAATTTTTTCTTGCTTGTGCAATTAAATCAATATTGTGTGTGAAATAATCTATTATGAACCATGCCAAAATTTTTTGTAAATCGTGTTTGGTATGTTGTGAAACGTCGTGTTTCGTGAAATTTTCTTTAATGATATTTAAATAACTAGAGAGTAGTGTGATTTCATGTCGTACTCTTAAATGTTTAGATGTTTCTGTCGGTGAGACATTTGTCAATGGGAGTTCATTTTCTAATATCGAAATATAACTATATATTATTGCGAAAACTTCATTGGTGAAAATGGAGTTTGCTCTTTGTGAGTTATGGTATTGGATGCTTTTTATATATTCTGAAAAAACTTTTGAAAATTCTAAGTCAAGATCGTCTGTTTGAATAGTATATGTTCTATTATTATGGTTTGGGGAAGTGAATTCTATAGAGTAGATTCCATACTGTTGTGTTATGTTGCATATATCTTTTAGATAGTGATCTATGATTTGTCTTTTGATTTTTACATCGGGGAACTCTGTTTTACATGGACTGATTCCGGGTTCAAATAAATTTACGAGTAAATTTTGACAAAATATGTGTTGTCCTCTATCAGTATCTGCATCTACTATAAAAGGAAAGATTTCATCATCATCTGGAGTTTCGTCACCTGGGGTGTGCGTTGAACTCATTTTTCCGTTCGATGACCGTTAATATGTAATTATTAATGTGTCGAATTGGTTGATTCCAATTGTATAAATGTACTGGTTTGTGTTTGTACTGTTTTTTTATTCTTCTTTTTCCTCTTTGTGATGAATTTGATGTTGTTTCTGAGTCAGAAAAATATAATTGATCGTGAAGTGGGCAATTTTTATCTATTGATTCTTTTAGTTTGTAAAGTTCGTCTAAACTGTTGGTTTCTGATTCTGAAAATGCGTTTCGATTTTTTGAAAATCTTTTTCGTGTTATTTGTCTTTGTTTAGTTATTATTTTCCTCTTTAGTGTTTGTCGTTTTGTGCGAATGTATCCAACTGTTTGTGTATGAGGTGTGATTACGAGGTCGTATTTTTTGTTATCTATTTCACAGTTGTGTAAAACGATTGTTTGTTTATTTCCTAGGTTTTTAAATGACATAAGGTTTAGGATGACGGATGCAAAAAGTTGTTAAGTGAATTCTAATTACTTAAACTGTTAGTCCTTACGATTTTTTGGTTAGCTTAACCTGGGTCTATTTGTTCAGGGTTGGAGAGAAAAGTATATCAATTCCGAAGAATGATTTTTACTTTCTCGTGACTAGTATAAGCTAAGGTGTTAACTTACTTAATCTTACTTAGGGGTAGTGATTGTGTTCAAGGGTTGGAGAATAGTAAATCGATCCACAAGGTTCAGGTATAATTAGAACGCGAGTATTTCGTTAGATACTATTTTAAACCTACTAAGTCTAAGATTTATCCTGGGTGTGGTAAGAGGGGGGGTCAAGTGAAGGATGAATAACCGAAGTTCTTCACTGTTTATCCTAATTCGAATGATTAGTTTTGTTTAAAAATTTCTATTAGTCCTGGGTTTTGAGAAAGGGTTGGATAGTGAATCGACGTTTGAGGTCGTTAGACACTAATTAAGTGGGTGGGGGAGAACAAAGTTGTTCTGTTTGATCCAAGGATAAGCCTTGATGATCAAGTTTGAAATTTAATTAAGTAGAAAATGATTTAAGATCCAAGGATAAGCCTTGATGATCTGATTTTAATTAAGTGACTTTAAGTTTTAATAAAGTTTTAAATTTGTGTAAAGGAAAGATTTAGTATTTTGATGATATTAGTGGGTTTATGATTGCTGTTATGTTTTAGGTGATGAAGCTGGAACAACAGGATGATTTATGATTACTAACCATTTATTGTCATGCTACTAATTTTTATTTTCATTTTCCAATAAAATATTTTTCAAACTTGTTTTGTATAATACTGCAGAGTTTTAGGAAAACGATCTTAGATCTTTTTATCAATCGTTATTGTATAATAATAATTTTGTTTAGCGCCTGAAATGATTTTGAAGAGTAACTTCAAGGTTTTATGTTTGCGAATGGAAATCTAAATTCATTGCAAGTAATATTCGAAATATAAAAGTTTGTTCTGGCTTTTGCCGAACTATCATATAACTATACGGCAAGTTTCTACTTTGTCGTATGTCGTCTTTGGTTCGATGTCTTCTTCCAATTCCGGGTAGTTCTGTTATGGTTCGGAATATTGGCTCTGATCTATTGAGTCGGAGAGACATTTCAATTAAATTATTGTCGTATAACATTTTGTAAATGTTTTTGTCTAATTTCTAATCTATTTTGGTTAATTCTAATCTAGTAAGGTCTTGTTCGAGACTTATGGTCGCACCAGATGAGTTAGGACTGGAGTGTGTAACTCATAGAGTAATTTCGGATAGGGTACACCGTCTGCTCGTCACGCTATCTTATTTTCGGCCGGATAGATTCGTGCAACTTCTTAGTCTAATACCGATCCTAATCTTACTCTTATACTATCTAGTCTCAGGTTGTTTAACTAGTCTCTGCTAGGCTCAATAGATCTAGGGTATACTGGTTTATTGCGGCTGCTGAAGTACTCGGGAGAGTCCAACTAATTTCTAAGTTAAATTCAAATCTCTCTGGTGCTGAAATTACAAGTAACTTCAGCACTTACAAATAAGTGGGTTGTTAGTTAGATGGATCATGATTGGTTAATATTAAATACTTTACATTGGTAAAACATTTAATTTATCCAATCATAAAATATAGTTTAGATCAGGTTCCAAAAGATATAAAGATATTTCACTTGTGATCATTTATTGTGAAGTTATGGGGATTTAAAGATTGCCATTTTGACAAATTTGTGACGATTAACGCGCGATATATTTTGCGCTATTAACGCGTAAGCCGAGATCTAATCCGTCTTAAAATAGTTCCAATTTGGTTGAAAGAAGCTTATTTGCCATAATTGATTTGTTACAAGGAGCGAAATCTATCCTTTTGTACTTTGTATGGCGTGTGGGGGATCATTTTCTTTAAAAGTTTCAAATTTTAGAAAAAACTTCATTTTACCTTATTACATTTATTTTTTTAATGTCATTACTGCTCCATAAAACCTTAAAAGGCAGTCGGAACATTCAAGGTTTCGCCCTGATACGAGCTTTGTTTACGCCCTGATTAAAAACTTGCAGAACAGGTTTTATCATGGCACATTTTTATTCCGCCTTCCGAATGAAGTAAAGAAATGTTTGTGATTGTATTGAGAAAAGTACTAATTTCCAGACTGCAGCGAACAAATATCGTACTTTCATACTTTGTAATTACCCAAAAACCTTACCTAGACTAAGAAACTTTTGACATGTGATTGAATTTGGGTAGCCTTTCATTGTGTGGACAGACCTGGGCACTGACTTTTCAGTGCAAATTGCAAATGACACGAAATTTTATAGGGTTTTTCCGTTATAGCCACGTCACAGTAAATATAGACCCCCGAAAAAATAAAATCACAGTTTGGAGATTATTTTTTGTTACTAGGCTAGACGTTTTTTATGGGAAAGACCCGATTCATTTACTCTGGATTCCTGAAATTTTTGAAATGTGGAATATTGCAAGACTCTTACAAACATTTTGTTCAAGATTACATAGACCTTGATTTTTGCACATTTTCCTTCAAATTTCAGGGCAGAAGATTGATTTGCCACCTTTTGTATTTTGAAACCTAAGAAAGTATAGCTTGCTCAAAAAACATCTTACTTGGTTTTTGTTTTGAGGGCGAAAGGACAATAAATTGATTATGAATAAAAAATTTCATGAAAAGGCTTCGATGTTTTTTCGTTCTGTAAGTTTCAAAAAAAAATCGTTTTCTGTTTTGTAATTGAAGAGCATTTTTAACAGAAATAAACAAGCCAAATTATTCTTTTTGCTACTTAGTCTCAACTCGACTTACTGAAATATGTGCGTATCATGATGTATCAATATGACAAATGATATACCAAGACATTTCAACGCCTTTTAATGCTTTCGTCTTTGAAGTTCAGTTTGAAGAAAAATCGATTCTTGAAAGAATTTCGTCACGTGGTGAAGAGGAAATCAACGTGAACAAAATGGATTTTAAATATCAATTTGATATTCTTTTAAAATAATTTTAATGAACAATAAGCTCAGCATATATTATAAGCTTGACATTGTAGTCGAGTTTTGCATTTTTAGAGCAAATACTCGAGAGAATACCGATTTCAACTTGAAATCTATTTTGATTGAATAACGTCACAATTCAAATTTTTCAGGGGTAATTTTCAAAGGTCTGATTTTTTTAAAAGAGATTGTTGAAAAAGCATTTATAATTAATTGTATTATATATTTTTTAAAAAGGTAAGAATCTTGGAGACAAAAAGAAATCGATATATTTCACATTTGTTTTTTTATTATTTGAGACATAAAAAAGCAAATCCGCTTTCTTGCTGAATTTAAAAACTTGGCTAGTGAGCTAAAGTAATTTTTCAATTCAATTCAATTTTAAAAATTAAAATGTGACCGAAATAGTGCAGCAAGAAGTTGACTCAAAAAAGTTATTGTTTCCTACTCGAGGTACCAAAGCGGTCAATATATTTATTTTGGTCAAAAAAGCCTCATTAAACCAAGCCAGAGATAAACTTTAGGGTAAAAATGATTTTTTGTAGTCCAAATTGACATTCAGAAACTTTTCTATGCCTTGAAAACTTAAAAATGCTATTTGGTATCCTGAAAACACATCTGGTCATAAAATATTACTTGAGGCTGCGTCAAAATGACAGTTGAAAGAGTATATTTTTAGATTGATTTTTTCCTCTTATTTACATAATTTATCCTATATCCAATTCGATTCTAGAAGGTGCCCTGCTCATACGCATAACACCATGGGAAGTGGCAGCGTGAACTACAGCAGACTACAACTTTTGCCCTCCTTTTGCTTCTTGGCTCTCCTGTGCCTCCTTTTCCTTGCTTGTCAGGGCCCAACTGTCAGTGCTATGTATTCAGGTGAGCCCCAAACAATTCATTTTTTGCCTCCTAAGCCAACCCGGCTCTAGGTTTTTGGTTGGAGCACGGATGATGGTGTGCCTCGAACATCCGACCTCTCAATAGAGAGGCCGAGACGTAACCACTCAGTCACCGCACCTCAACTGGTAGCTTTTTGTCCATTTTTCGTCTTTTTGAAATTTTGGCTTACATCTCCAAGCTCTACCCACACATAAGTTTCTTGGACAAAAATCTATTATAATGTATTTTGTTGGCTAAAATCTTGTTTTTGTAATCGAAAATTTAGACAATGTAATGGATGTTTAATCCATTATAATCGATTATTTTCAAAACATAAAAATCCATTAAAATCTATTATAGTCCATTATAATCGAATTTTGTTTTCAATATAATTGATTGTTTTTTGTACATGTTCATCTCATTTTCCAATACTCAGTACCCCAACTCCACGTCCCAAAGCCACCCCCTACCCGCCACCACCGCTATGCAGTTCCCCCACCGCACCACGGTACGCAGCCCCCCGGTCTTCCTAATTCCCTCAGAACACCCAAGTCTATCCCTCCTCCTCCTTATTTAATCCTCCTCTATCGCGTTTAAATCCCCGATGCGTTTAACCCCCATTCCACGCGTAACGCACACCCCAAAACTACCAATTCGAGTGGGGGGAAAGGTAAGGGTGGGGATTTAAACGCGAAAGAAGAGGTTAAAACAATGGGAGGAGGGGTAGACTTGGGGGTTTTGGTGGGAGGGGGCATACTAGAAAGACTGAAGGTTGATTTCGGGAGAATGACAAAACTGCATGCGATTGAAGTTGAGAAAAAATTGAACATTAGCGAGAGTACAAAAACTCATCTTAAGTTTAGCATTTTTAGTAATGAATGAAAGAAAACACAGATTTAAAAGTTTGATTATTTTCCATTATAATTGATTAAATTGCATTTTTGCTTCTTTCGATAAGCATTTTCGAAAAAAGTTAATTAGAATCAATTATAAATGAAAACTTATGAGAAAAGATTAAGAATAGATAAATTGCTTTGGAAAATATTGACAATATAATCCATTTCTAATCCATAATCGAGTGTTTTCGAATTTTAGGGAGACAGGCAACAAACATGCAATTGAATCGATTATTATCCATGAAAGTTCGGCTAATCGCAAATTACAACTACATTCCGCTCATTTCATGACTTCCTTTCGCACTATTTATAGCCAAATTTTTTTAACCAACCGACCCTATTTATTGAAAAGTGAATTTGACTTCAAAAATCCATCTGCGATTCCGAAGTTCTGAGCACGAAAAGGATTTATAAAGTTTTATATGGAAAACTCAGGAAATGAACTTAGTCAACCTAATCAAAAATGATGTTTTTTTTCTACATTAAAATACGTTTGCATTGAAAAACCGTTAGCAATTTTTTCTGGGCTTTGATTAATGTTTTTTTGTTACTTGTTTTACTTTTTTTTGTTTCTGTTGCTTTTATTTGAGTTTTTGATTTGAAATGAGCGCTTTCACTTTTCAATAAGTTGTTCTCTAAGAAGCCAAAAAAAATTGCTGAAAAGATATAATTAAGTTTTTTTGTTGTTTTTATGCAGCTTTCGTTTTTTGCTTAAATCAATCAATTATATTATAGAAAACAAGAGAACGTTAACACAGCTGGCTTGAAGTATGATGCACTTTTGCATATTGCCAAACTGATAGGGTAAACTTTTTAACAGGCGACAATTGTTAACAGGCGAAAATTCGTAACAAGGCATTGGCAAGTAGAATACGCTTGCTCCGCTTCGCTCCGCTGCGCTTACATCCGGCACGAGAGGAGCAGTGCGTATAAATTCAAGTTTGCAGCTTAAAATATTGTTACGAATTGTCGCCTGGAACAAATTGTCGCCTCACGGCCAAATTGAGGTAAGAACTAACGAAGTCTCTTCTACAATTGGTTTTCACATTAGAGAAAAATTGTCATCACAAATCAGCCAAATTACACCTCCAATCTTTTTTGTAGAATCTGAAAGAGCAGGAAAATAAACAGCACAAACAATTTAATAAAAAAGTTTTTCTATTTTTCAACCTCCTTGAACCCATGTGCACACGAAACCATCTTTACAATCACCGTAGTTTTTTGACATTACGGAGAAATACTGGCCATATCTTTGGTAAACTAAATTTTTCAGCCTGAACTTTTTCATAATTTAGGGGTTAATTTTTCTTGAGTTTTTTTGGGCCGATGGTTTGAAACTCTGTTTTAACTTTGCTTACGTAAAAGCAAAAAATAAAGCTGAATCAATGTAGGTGTAAGAAAACAATACAAAAAGCTAACTGAACCTAATTCTCAAATTAGGCTTTTCTTGAACTTGTTTTAATTAGTTTTTGACAGACCTAATTTAAGAATTCAGTTCAAGTAATTTCAATTCCGGCATTGTTACCCTAAAAAATAACAAATTGCAAACAATTCTAAGCTTTGAGACAAACCAGATCGAAAAACTGTCCGTTGAAGGCTAATTTCGTGCAAGTACGCAATCAAAAAGGTGTTGAGAGAAGGTTTTTTTCTACCTGGAAAACAAGTCGTTTTTGAAACTTCAATAAGCGCTTTCTTGACAAAACAAAATGCTCAAAAGTTATGAAAAAGCTGAAAAGTTTTTTGAACGCATTTTTTTATTCTTTGTTTTATGATTCATTTTTAAAGAGAACTTCAATGAAGTTGTCTTCAAAAAATTTCTTTCAGTTTTCATTTATGAGGTTGTTTTTGATCATTGATATTTTCACGACAACTTCAATATTCGATGCTGTCTAATTTAGTCAAATTCGGTTTTTTTTATTTAGAGCGTCACATCATGTGACGCATAAAAAAGCTATTTCATTTTGAAAGTAAGAAAAAAATCCAAGTTTTCTATTGAAGTTGTCGCAATTTTCTAGATGACTCTCAGAGCAGCTAAGCAATTTTTCTAATTAAATTTTTATAAAATACGATAATGCTCGGAGTTGCTGGGAATAAAGACAATTTACAAGCATAAACCCATTATATACTTTTTAAAAATGGGTTTTTTGATTTATTTAATAAAGAAATGGGACGTTAGTAGTAATTTGTTCTTTTGATGAAAAAGTTGGTTTGATGATTGGTTGTTTATATTTTTTCCGTTTTTATGTTTGAGGCCGTGCTACCATGAAAAAAGATATTGATCGCATTTTTTATGCTTTATCAACGTTTTAGCTCGCTATAATGGTAGATTTTATTAACTCTTTACTAGAAATATGGGAGTTGTTAAACTATTTAAAGTGATGCTAATATGCAAGAAAGTCAAACATAACTTAAAAGAGTTGTACGTAGCTACTTTTCAGCCTCGCAATCAGTCCCTCGATATGTCTTCTCTACCGAAAACTGATCAAATTTTAAGAAACTACTAACTAATTTTTGCTTTCGTCTTTACCTCGGAATTTCGTTTTTGATCTCAAGAGGCAAAACCCGGCTGAATTTTTGTTTCAAACTGATTTGAGTCAAGCTATTTAGTTTTATTGGTATAATTTAATTCGTTTTTTTTTGGAAGTTCCAACAATGTTAAAAAGAAAAAATAATTATTTATTGGAGTGTTTAGACGTTAAAATGCTTATCAATGCAAAAAAGCTTGGAAAAATAACACGTCAAACAATTCCCATACTATTTTCAAAAAAGTTTCATTAAAATTTTTAGTACTTTGAATGATCTTGCAGCTTTTGGTAGAAAAAATTACCACTTTGGAACAAAAATTTAATTCTACCGGAATTGCCTGATAATCACTTTATGATCAGTTCATCAAGCTTTATGACTGGAGAAAAACTTCAAAATATATAATTTTTGTTCATTATAGGAGCGGAGCAGGTGTGAATTTAAATTTCATACATTCCTGAATTTTATGCGTATGAAGGGCTTTTAAAATTTTTGCCCAAAGGCGGCGGGGTCGTTTGTGGGGGCAGTCGTTTGTAAGTTTTATCAAAGGCGGCGGCGGGGTCGTTTGTGGGGGCAGGGGTTGGGGCGTATGCTTTCTTCTCCCCCTCATGGATTCGACACCCTGACAGCCCAAAGGGTCCCTCTTTTGGTACCATATAAAGCTATCCATTTTTGGGGCAACCGTTCCTTAAAGTTTTAGAAGAAAAATTTGGAAAAATATTACGTCATACAAAATTCATACTCGTTTCAAAATAAACTCAACAAAATTGGTACGTTGAACAATCTTGCAGCTGTTGCTAGAGAAGAGATTTGCTTTTGGACGAATATTTGAAAACAATGGTTTTGTTGAAATCTACCAAAATTGCTAATAAACATTTATCCTACGTTCATTAAGCACTACGACTGGAGAAAACCTTAAAAAACAATAGCTTTGTTCATTAATTGTGATTACGACATGTCCACAAAATTCATCCTTTAAAAAACTATCTTAGAATAACTAAAAATTAACAGCACGGAAAACTGATTTTCATGTCTTTAAGTTAACTTCTGAGACGTATCCAATCATTACTACATGGCCGCCCAGATACTTTGAATAAAATGATCATGATTTCATTACAAGGATGACGGGACAACAACAACTAACCCGGATAGTTCTTTCAAAGCACACCAGTTCTGTTCAGTTGAACTTCAGGAAAAATAGAGTAGTGTCATAGAGAACCGATCAAGATCAGGTGTCGCAATACTGTTACAGTACTTCAAAATCGATAAAAAGTTGCCGATTTTTGCGATCTCAGAGAAAATTTTAGATAAACTTGAGACAATTTAACAAGAGACATGGTAAAAAAGTGCGTAGAGTCGAAGTGTTGAACAAAAATTCTAGTCATACAATTCCTAATTATGAAAAAACGCTAGTCTTGTACCTTCCATGCAATTCTATATGTACAGAAAATTGCATGAAAGGTCTATATGAGTCTATGACTAGCATTTATTTATTTATGGGATTTAAGACATTATAACTTTTTTAAATATGAAAATTTCATGACAATCATTCTTTAACAATTGGAAATCCAGCAAAATGAGGCAGAAACTACTTTAAATCCAATCTTATCAGTTCTTTTTCTTTTCCTATGAGGAATCCATACCAAGCGGTACTGCCTGAGGTGAAAAACTTAAGCTGAAAAAAAACCTGTTTGCTGAGTATTCCAAAAACCAGAAACTGTCCACCAAAACTGGCAATTATCCGGCTATTCGAGCAAAAATACTATTGGATTCTTGTCTTCCAATCCTATCTGACATCAACATATAAAAAATTTCTTTATAAAATAAAATTCACACATAAGTTAGAAACAAACAAACAAACATCAACGACAGTTATGTAAATCCTAAGTTTTGCCTACGCGAAAATTATCAACTTGCTGTAATCCAAATAACGAGTAACGAGTTTTCCAGCTTTTTATTTCATTGTTCAGGGCGTGTTTTTCTTAAAACTATTTGAAAAATGCTAATTATGCAATTTCCATTTATGGAATTTGTATTATTAGCTTTTTTATATCAAATTTTTCTTTTTTACCAGATAGGAGCGTTTTTAGCCCCAAAATTGATCATGTTTAGCTTGTTTAATCAATCAAAACTTCCGCAAAAACTTTTGGGTTATTTTCCACAAAATTTTTTTAAAATGAGTTTCCGAAAATTTGCGCAAAAAGTTTGCTAAAACTTTTTTGCTCAATCTTGTTTGCGGGGTCCGGATTATTTAAATAAGCACTAAATGCTTCCGTTAAATTGTCAGAATTTTATAACGTTACATTATATCATAACTAACAAAAAATTGGTGCAGATTTTCTTTTTAGTGCAGGTTGAAACCATTGACATTATAGAGTTTAAGTTTCTTTTAAATATCTTAAATACTTCCTTTAAATTTATGCATAAGTGGAATCATTGGTCTTGAAGCATTTTTGAAGTTCGGGGAAAAAGTTCTATTTTGGCAATATATTCTGGCCCCATGCTTGCAAGAAGCCCAGTACGATCCATACACGTTAACTGCGGCAAAACTAACGAAAAAAGAAAGGTTTTTTGAATACAGACTGAGATCAAACATCAAGAATTAGGTATTAATCACTTTGAAGAGATGGAAAAATTTGGAAAATTGAACATGAAGCGACATCTAATTTTCTCATTAAATGATCTACTTGAAATAGATATTAGCGATTTTATTGCAGATTGCATCATCTAACTAAAAAACAATTTGCTGAGCAGAGTGGTAGTCTTTTCAAATTTTAGTTTAGCCTGTGCCTAAGTATTTTTCGCTCAAGAGGTGTCGAAACAATTTTTGAAAGCCAAGTTTGACAGCTAGTACCAGTTATCGGGTAGATCATAGTTTTTTGTTTTAGCTCATGTCAGTCATACAGATTCTGGCCTAAATGAACTCTCAGGCGAAACCCAAGAAAACCCAGTTTGGACAAAATACACCTTAGAGTACATCAAAATGCAGCCAAGCTCCAAAACTTCGTCTCCATTAAACGATCTGAAGAGTGTGTTCAAACGCAGCGAGGCGACGAAAAAGGGAGGAAACAAAATTCCATCAAGCAGAGTGGTGTTTTTTCCCCGATACAGACGTATCAACGACCATTGAACTTACAGATTTACACCAGTCTAAATTCCAAAAAATCAGTTTAAAAAATGTAGTTTTTCAAGCATTCGTTGCAAATATTTATTTTCACAGTGGTGCTCCAAAAGTGAATATACATTGAAGCTTCACTTTTTTCCGTTCCGATTGTAAGGTTTTGACCGAATAATTGCAATAAACAAGAGTAATTAAAAAAAATGAAAAAAAAGCAACTTTCAGTAGAGACATCTTAAAATGAATTTTTTTTCCAGAAAGTTCAAGTAAATAGTTTCGAACAAAACATTGAGCCTATAGAATGAACCGAAAAATGATTAAGTAATTATTTTATAACTAACAAAATTGTCAATCAGCAAATTAAATATCTTTTTTTTTGTATAACTAAACCGGGTTGACCTGCATAAACGAAAAATACTAATCCTACAATTCCATAAGCAGGTATGTACGTAGAAAGACGCTTATAATAACATTTTCTTCACAACAAAAATGTATGATAAGCAATTTTACGCTGCCGCAAAAAATATATCCAAAACAACAAACCGTTTCTTTTCGAGGGACTTTTTTTGATTTTTAGTCGCAATCTCAATTTTTTGCTCAGATTCAGAAATCAGTTTTCGACAAGAAATGCATCCCAATTTTTGTCTGATCCAGGCTGAATTTCTCATGCAAATAAGTTAAGAGTGATAACAATTTTCTGTGCAAATCCAAAACATTTGTTGTTTGCTTTTGTATAGTAAAAAAAAGTTAATCTGTAAAAAAATTAGGCCACAATTTTTTGACTAGTAATATTTTTGTCTAAAAATTTTCAGGCTATAAAAGAAAATTCTATCATACAAAAAAATATACAATAGCCGATCATTGTTTTCTTCATCAGTTTTCTTCCTCTCGATCAATAGGTTCTCTTATGATAGATAATTCTTGATTATGAAGTTTTCGGAAAAACCACAAAACTATTTGGCCAAAATAAAAAACTAGTAAAATTTTTTGATTTATATAAATAATGCTCATCATCTTCATGCTTTTGTTTGTGGAGTTTTCCTAAAAGAGATGTCATGTCATATAGTTTTCCCGACGTATGAATATGTATGACAAGAAGTGTTTTCAAATATGGAAATTGTTTGATTAGAATTTTTGCTCAATCAGGGAAATGTGGTTAAATCAAGAGAAACTTCATATTTATGGAATTAACTCAAGTACAAATTTTGGGTACTTGCTTTATTCCGCAAAGCTCAAAATATTGTTTTAATTATGCCTGACTTGTGTCCTAAAAAACTTCAAAATCAAAAACAAAAAAACCTAAGTTGGTGATGATTTCTTTCAAACGTTTTTGTCAATTTTGTGACAGTCAAATGTTTTTTTACTGAAAGAAAATTCAGTCAAATTGGTTCTGATACAGCGCATTCAAGTTTAAGAGGTCAGTCGAGTCAGCTCAAAAAAATTGGCTAGAAATTGTTTTTCAAACTATTAGCATGCACGAGGCATTGGAAAGGTGAACTTAATTGTCTATCCGAGTTTTCTCGATTCTTTTGTCTATGATTTATCTCGGGGTGTTTTTTCTCATTCTTTAGCTAGAAATTTTAGACAGAGCTTTCAAAAAGTATAAAAGATCAAAATGTTGAGCTAGACGTTGGAGAAAAACATTTAAAAAGAAAAGAAAAGATAATACAGTTTTTATCTTTTTTTCAAGAAAAAGTTATGGGGGCTGAAATTGCACCCATTTTAGTCAAGTTGAGATAGCTATAGCGCTTTTTACCGGTTGTTACGAATTGTCGCCTGTTACGATTGGTCGCCCTAACGAAAAAACTATAACGAGTTCGCTTAAAATTTTTTTGTTTCAACCACCACGCGTTATGTAATAAACAAAATGAGACTGTTTGCGTTTGACTAACGCGTACAAGGCAAATGAAATCACTCCAGGTTGAAAATCAGACTCGTTGAGTGGACAAAAACACTGCTTATCTTTTTTAAACATTAAACTCATGAGCGCTTCTCTCAAACGGGGCTGACATTAGACAGTAAACACTCGCATGAAAAGTTGTCCAATTTTCGGAGAACCATACAAAACTCACTATAACAAATCAAACTTAAGCATAAAAACCAGTTGCTGTGCAAAACTTCCGACTGGTAGGGCGACAACTCATATCAGGTAACAATTCGTAGCAAGCGACAATTCGTAACAATGATCGGCTGCGCTTCCATCAGAAACAAAAGCAACACTGCGAGTGAATTAGTGCTCCCCGCTTAACCTACTGTTACGAATTTTCGCCTATTACGAATTGTCGCCCACTACGTATTTTTGCCTCACGGTTCTGACCACAAGATGAAAAAAAAACTCACTTTTTGAGTTTTTACTTGATTATGTACTCAAATTTAGATATTTTTGATTGCAATCTAAATTTTAGACAGAGCTTTCATAAAGTATAAAAGATCAAAATGTTGAGCTAGACGTTGGAGAAAAACATTTAAAGAGAAAAGAAAAGATAATACAGTTTTTATATTTTTTTCAAGAAAAAGTTATGGGGCTGAAATTGCACCCATTTCAGTCAAGTTGAGATAGCTATAGCGCTTTTTACCGGTTTTTATTAACGGCTAGGAAGAAATAAAATTGGTCGTAAAATGCACAGTCTTGAGTATTTCGAATGCCACCAATAGTCGAATAAAAACATTCAGTTGAAAAAATTCGTGAAGCGACTATTAGTTACAGGCGACAATTTTTAACAGGCGACAATTCATAACAGGCGACAAATCGTTACAGGTGACAATTTGCAACAGGCGACAATTCATAACAGGCGACAAATCGTAACAGGTGACAATTCGCAACAGGCGACAATTCGTAACAGGCGACAAATCGTAACAGGTGACAATTCGCAACAGGCGACAATTCATAACAGGCGACAAATCGCAACAGGTGACAATTCGCAACAGGCGTCATTTCGTAACAGGTGACAATTTGCAACAGGCGACAATTCATACTAGGCGACAAATCGTAACAGGTGACAATTCGCAACAGGCGACAATTCATAACAGGCGACAAATCGTAACAGGTGACAATTCGCAACAGGCGACAATTCATAACAGGCGACAAATCGTAACAGGTGACAATTCGCAACAAGCGTCATTTCGTAACAGGTGACAATTTGCAACAGGCGACAATTCAAAACAGGCGACAAATCGTAACAGGTGACAATTTGCAACAGGCGACAATTCATAACAGGCGACAATTCATAACAGGCGACAACTCATATCAGGTAACAATTCGTAGCAAGCGACAATTCGTAACAATGATCGGCTGCGCTTCCATCAGAAACAAAAGCAACACTGCGAGTGAATTAGTGCTCCCCGCTTAACCTACTGTTACGAATTGTCGCCTATTACGAATTGTCGCCTACTACGTACTTTTGCCTCACGGTTCTGACCACAAGATGAAAAAAAAAACTCACTTTTTGAGTTTTTACTTGATTATGTACTCAAATTTAGATATTTTTGATTGCAATCTAAATTTTAGACAGAGCTTTCAAAAAGTATAAAAGATCAAAATGTTGAGCTAGACGTTGGAGAAAAACATTTAAAGAGAAAAGAAAAGATAATACAGTTTTTATATTTTTTTCAAGAAAAAGTTATGGGGCTGAAATTGCACCCATTTCAGTCAAGTTGAGATAGCTATAGCGCTTTTTACCGGTTTTTATTAACGGCTAGGAAGAAATAAAATTGGTCGTAAAATGCACAGTCTTGAGTATTTCGAATGCCATCAATAGTCGAATAAAAACATTCAGTTGAAAAAATTCGTGAAGCGACTATTAGTTACAGGCGACAATTTTTAACAGGCGACAATTCATAACAGGCGACAAATCGTTACAGGTGACAATTTGCAACAGGCGACAATTCATAACAGGCGACAAATCGTAACAGGTGACAATTCTCAACAGGCGACAATTCGTAACAGGCGACAAATCGTAACAGGTGACAATTCGCAACAGGCGACAATTCATAACAGGCGACAAATCGCAACAGGTGACGATTCGCAACAGGCGTCATTTCGTAACAGGTGACAATTTGCAACAGGCGACAATTCATACTAGGCGACAAATCGTAACAGGTGACAATTCGCAACAGGCGACAATTCATAACAGGCGACAAATCGTAACAGGTGACAATTCGCAACAAGCGTCATTTCGTAACAGGTGACAATTTGCAACAGGCGACAATTCAAAACAGGCGACAAATCGTAACAGGTGACAATTTGCAACAGGCGACAATTCATAACAGGCGACAATTCATAACAGGCGACAAATCGTAACAGGTGACAATTCGCAACAGGCGTCATTTCGTAACAGGTAACAATTTGCAACAGGCGACAATTCAAAACAGGCGACAAATCGTAACAGGTGACAATTTGCAACAGGCGACAATTCATAACAGGCGACAAATCGTAACAGGTGACAATTCGCAACAGGCGAAAATTCATAACAAGCGACAAATCGTAACAGGTGACAATTCGCAACAGGCATCATTTCGTAACAGGCGACTTTTCATGACAGGAGATTTTCGTTAATATAATTTAAGCGGCAAACACTACTTTATGCGCAACATTTCTCTCCTGCCGGATGTAAGCGAAGCGGAGCAAGCGTATTCTACTTGCCAATGCTTGTTACGAACTGTCGCTTGTTACGAATTGTCGCCTGCTACGATTGGTCGCCCTAACGAAAAAACTATAACGAGTTCGCTTAAAATTTTTTGTTTCAACCACCACGCGTTATGTAATAAACAAAATGAGACTGTTTGCGTTTGACTAACGCGTACGAGGCAAATGAAATCATTCCAGGTTGAAAATCAGACTCATTGAGTGGACAGAAACACTGCTTATCTTTTTTAAACATTAAACTCATGAGCGCTTTTCTCAAACGGGGCTGACATTAGACAGTAAACACTCGCATCAAAAGTTGTCCAATTTTCGGAGAACCATACAAAACTCACTATAACAAATCAAACTTAAGCATAAAAACCAGTTGCTGTGCAAAACTTCCGACTGGTAGGGCGAAACTCGTATCAGGTAACAATTCGTAGCAAGCGACAATTCGTAACGATGATCGGCTGCGCTTCCATCAGAAACAAAAGGAACACTGCGAG